GGATGAGACCAAAATAATATACACATATTCTTAAAATTTATAAGGTCATATTTTAGTCAACTAGTTTAAGGAACAAAATATGTATCTAGTTAAGGTTTATCTGAGAATATTTGTTTTTTTACGCAAGCCTTATCTACACAGCACATGACAATTAAAAGTATCAGACTGGTGGAACTAACCTTATTGGATGTTCAACAGCCATAGTTTGAGGCCTATACTAATGTGGTCAGAGGGACTTAAAGGACAATTTTACCCCTTGCTCTTTAAGGTCAACTAAGTTCCAGGGGACTATGGAACATCTCTCAAAATGTCCTGTAACTGTGGTGAGTCACCTGTCCTCTTGTTCAGGGAGGATGTGGAGAACCCACGAGATGGACATGAACCAGTGTCCAGTCTACAAAGAGGAGGGTCAACTCAGAGGAAACATCTCATTCATGCTTCCAAGTGAAGCCAGACATGGTTGAACAGTACCTCTGACTTATCTTCACATAGATGGAACTGGTTAAAGAAAGGAGCCAGGAGCTCTTCCCAAGCCCACGTGGTCCCTGAGGAACAGGTCCTCAAATGACTTTAAGTGTAAAAATAAATTGATTTATTTGGGTCAACTGCATGGTCTTAAACACCCAAAAGGAAAGTATAACCAAAGAGTAAAGTCATCAGTATATTTCTTTAAGAGTTCAAGGGATTTGATTACACTGCCCAGACATTAGGCTTAGGTCTATATAAAAAGTTATTTACACAATTATTTCTCATTGATGATTTTTTTCCTAAACAAAAAGTGCTGCTCAGATATAAGACTTCAAATTTTGGTCTTCAGTACTGTAGTGCCCACCTGTAGCTAAGGGAGACAATCAGCTATTGTTCTAAAATGATGGATAAATTTGTTTTCTCCCCCTATCTAGAAGCCTTTGAGAGGGAACTGACATGGATTCTAACCACTCCAACAGCTATCAAAGTACCTGAAAGCTAATCCTGAATCCATCACTCTAGAGTCCAGCCTTGAAAGACAAAAGAAAAATGAGGAGGAACCCAATAGAGGGATGGTTTTGGAAGCCCTTGTCAAGAAATTCTAATGGACTCTCATATAACATTTGAAAATTGCCCTGTTCTGACTTTTTTCTAGTTCCCTGTCTAGAACTTGCAATGCTAATTACTCTTGCCTTTACTTCTCCTTCACATCTCCTATTCACCAGTCAAGGACTTTCTTTTCCACCTCAAGATGAGAGTTATGCAATTTGGGGGGGCCTTTAGAGAGACCCACTGAAGGGGTACCCCAATTGCCTCACCCTGCATCCCTGTTCAGCATAAGACAGAGTGGTCTGTGTCCAGATTCCCTATTGTCAATTTGGGTAACCTCTTCCAGAGGATGGTGTGATAAGAATAGAAGGTAGGAGGTGGCTAGGCAGTTAGGGTAAAAAGACCCCAAAGAAAAGTAGCCAGTTTCTTGGCTAAAACTCATACTTTGTTCCAATGGCCAAAAATATCAAAAATATTTGGGAGCTTTTATCTAATCCTTAAAAGAATTTAGGGTTACCTCTTCAGAGGGGGAATACCTACAGGCAGCACTAACTCGATTCACTGGGAATTAGTCTTTTTAATAGAGCACATGAAGTTGGGAGGGAAATATGGTGAGATGGATAGAAGAAAAAGTATAGTACAGATTATGCATGGACTTGATCAAAACACTTTATATTCATGTATGAAATTCTCAATAAATTATTTATTTAAAAAATATATAGATTATATAACCTTTGTACAGTCTAAGAAATTTAAAGAAAAGACCAAAAAAAAAAGACCAAAAAGAGAAATAACCTTTATTTTCTACAAATATTAATAAATAATGATGTGAAAACAAAAGTTTCCTTTAAGAATCTTGGTTTGAACATTTTAAGGAATACTTTTAGCATTGTTTTCACTGAGGGTTAATTTCAATGATCAATACAGTAAAATTTCTAGAATTGTAGTTCTAAAGTACCAACCACCACTCACAATTTTACCCAACAACTGTGCTGTTCTATAGGATGACGCTTCACAAAGTAGACAATATGAAACACCTATATCTTCACATCTGTTGGCTAATAGTTTTGTCACTATAATTACTTAAATCTAAAACAACCTATCAGGGCTGGAGAGATCAGGGCTCAGCTATTAAGAGCACTGGCTGTTCTTCCAGAGGACCTGGGTTTGGTTCCTATCACCCACATTGGAACTAACAACTGTCAGAAACTCTATTTCCAGGTGATTTGACATCCCCTTCTGGCTTCCATGGGCATTGCACGCATGTATGCATTTACATGCATGCAGGCAGAATACTCACATACATAAAACGAATTAAAAAAGTAAAACAACCTATAAAAATTTAATCAGAAGAATAGATTTTAGAGTATAATGTGGGGCTGCTAAGTTTTCTTAAAAGCTTTTGTTGAAGTAAAATCTGGAAAGCAATGCAAATATAGCTCTTTTAACACAGTTTATCGTATTTTCATCATATAACAGTCATTTAAAACAGATGTGGAATAGAGAGGTAAAGGTGCTGATAATGCATTTTCTTCTGAATTCTAACTGCTCCTGTGCTGCCCTGTTCTGGCTCCTACTACCTCTCCGTAAGTTTCCTGTCCATTTATACTTTCCTCACGTGTAAGCTATCCTCACTTCCTCTTTCCTGTTACACATTTCATCTCTGTGTAAGAGGCCATGAAATTAACATTCATTACAAAGCTAAAATGGTTTTAGGTTACACTTGTTAAAACATACTATATTATATTCTGATAGGAAAATGGAGTGTAGCATGCTATATTAATTCAACATACTTTTAAAGGCTAGATGCTAATAACATATTTAAAAGAAAAGCAAGTAATTCTTATGCATGTCGAGCCTATGCTAAGACAGATTTGCTTATTATCACAGATGCTACAGTTAGACAGGATGCAGAAAGAAAGTATATATTTACCACTGTGAATTCTTAAGTGCTCTTTTAGGTGATGTTTGTATTTGAAAGCTTTTCCACATTCAGTGCACTTGAATTTACGATTACCCCCAGACTGTGTCACATGTCTCTGCAAGAAAGAATTGGTGTTTTATTTGTCAAGTAAAAGAACTTTAGACATTAAAAAACATCCAATCTGCTTAAAGTCGTTTCAGGTGAGTTTGATGATCGTTTTGTTTGTTATAGGACTGTAGTAGTCACAAATACATAACATTTGGAATCAATATTCTAAAGGATGGTGAAAGTAGGAACAGAATTTTGCCATACAGAAAAGTCTCCATTTTCTAAATTATCAGGGTCATACTTTATTAAGTGATAGAGTATTTAGCAAAAAAAAAAGTAAAGTGATACATACCTTACTAGGATCTAGAATGATCTTGTTTGCACTCTAATTTACAGATAAAGAAGCAGGTTGTGTAAAGCAATCTGTTAAGTCAATCGAATAAGGTCCTGACCAGTAAGATGGTCTATCTCTTACATGTTTGATATTTCCAAAATGTACTTTCATCTGATGATTTCTTTAAAAAGCTTCCAGCTGGGCATGGTGGTGCATGCCTTTACTCCCAGCACTCAGGAGGCAGAGGCAGGTGGATCTCTGTGAGTTCAAGGCCAGCCTGGTCTACATAGTGAGTTCCAGGACAGCTGGAGTTACAGGGAGACCCTGTCTCAAAAAAACCAAAAAAAAAAAAAAAAAACCCACTTCCTTCTTTTTCAGTCAAATGTAGTTTTTATAATGCTCTTCTGCATGGTTTACAAAGTCTCGTTTTTATATATTTCAGATATATTCTACAACTTAAATTATAAGAGAACTGTATATATTATACCAAATTCCTGCTCATCAGTCTCTGAAAGGCCTCATTAATCCACAATAAAGATTCTGAGCCCACATATCCCAGGGTCATGCTCACCAGTTCTCCCTGAGGCTGTTTCCTCAGCCACTGAGTAAGCCATGGCTTCTGCTCTTGTCCTGTACAGCTCCTCTGTCCTTGCTATGGTTTACTTTATTCTTTATTCACTAAGTTTCTCCTAAATTGGGAAGATCTATTAAAACATGTTTTATTCTATTAAAACATTCTATACCACACTGAGATCAGATGCTTTATAGGTAGGTTCTCTCCATCGTCTTCTTGGAGTCTCCCTCCCTGCACTGACTCTGTAGTAAGTACCTGCATGATCACTTATTATGTACTAAGGCCCTATTCTACCCGAATCCATGCCTTAAATACCAAACATGATGGAAACTCTCAACTATATAACCTGTCCACTCCATGGAGTTGTATAACTGACTGTATCTCTGATGTTGCTTCTTGGAAGGCAGGAGGCAGCTGAAACAGCAGGCAAATTCAGCTCCTGTTGCAAAATCGGCTTGAGAGTCTCCTTTCTAGAAGCATGTTCTCACGGACTTGGCTACTCTTAGGCCTCCATTTTTGGCCTGTTCCTTCTATTTTACAACTTGACTTAATTCACATGAATATACATTAAACCAAGTCCTCTTTACCATGCCACAAACCTCTGGCCTGGATCACAACAACAGACTCTAGATGGCCTCTCTGTGTCCATTCTTGTCTCTCTTGATTTTTTCCATACCCATCAGCCAATGCTTCCTTAGATCAAAAGCCCAATATTTTTCAAAGGTTTCCCTATCATACTTCAAAATAAGATTAAATCTTTACCTTGCTCTACATATAGGCTTATATTGTCTGGTTCTAGTACATCTCTGGCCTCACCTGTCTCTCTCCCTGTATTCACAGTGGCCACCTTGCTGTTCCTTGGTCACACCAGGCAGGTCTCTCCCTCAGAGCTCTGGAAAGTGTCACTGTTCTCTCTGACTGGAAAGCGCTCCTTGGGAATTCCAAGTCTCAACTTTCTCAGTGCTTGATTCAAGGTCTCCTCCCCAGTTCTCTCTATTTTCAGCTTTCCTGATTTTCTATTTTTAGCCTATTTTTATTTTCTTCATACTACCTGAATCGGTTTTAGTTTTGTTTCTCATTACCCACATATGCTCCCTTCTGGTAGGACTTTCTCCTTTTTCTTTTCTTGTTGTGTCTAACACCTGGGGTAGGGCCTGACATACAATGGAAATGGAAATATTTGGTGAATGAATGAATGAACAAGACAGTGAAATGCTTATCTTTTAGCCACAGTAGGCCAGCAAGATCAGCATTCTAAATTGTTTCTAAGACCTCCCAACCAGCCTTCCTCATACTGGCCTCCATATCACAGCTCTCTTTGGTTTACATTTGAACAAAATTGCAATCACTAGAAAAGTCATCACAAAGGTGGTCCTCATGGTCACTGCAGATTTTAGTGTTTGTTTTTATAATGGTGCCTTCGGTTTGGATGCCTGTCTTTTCCTTTGGCAAGGGCCCTCATTCCCCAGAGACTGGCGGCAGCTGTTGTAGAATGGGTCTACCCTCTAAAGTCATGTCAACAGCTCTTTTCCCAAGCCTTGTCTACCATGTGGCCACAAACACACGTTATGATACCATCCTTGAAAGCCTCCTCAGAAAGGGCAAGTAGTGAGTGAGGTTTGTCCCCGCAGCTCCTCGGGGTTGGCTTCTTCTTTTTCTCCCTCTGCCCCCCATTCTCAGGACTTCAGCACTACCCTACCACTGCTGGAGATTTTGCTCTTCTCCACCCATGGCACTCTCACCCCTAGTGTTAGATTTTGTAATATCAAGTCCTGGGGAAACAAGTTGACTCTATGCCTTTTGTCTCTCTGTGGGATAAGTGACTTCTATCAGGCACCTACACAGAGCTCTCACAAATTCTGTAGGTGTATATCCATGAGAGATAAGAAACTGGATGTGTGCTTACACCAAAACCTATACCATAACATCCTCTTAAACAGTACTTGATTTTTAAAGTTAGAATCCAATGACTATGGATTACTGATTGCTGATTGTTATCAGGACATTACAGAAAAGAACAATGGTGAAGCGCCTTTGTTTTAACTTTAGATGTAAAGCCAAAGGCTTAAATATAACTTACACTTGTAAAGCACTCTGTCTTCATTTATACTTCTAGAAAACGCACAAAGTGACACCGTATTAGAATAAGCCATATGAAAATGGAGTCTTCAGAATTAAAGTTCTCAGATTTTAGGTTCTCAGGTGGCAGCTTTCTTACTATTGGAGAAAAACCAGAGCAGCTTATACTTAGAATAATATAGTCGCTGTCCCCGAAAATTGAAAAATTAAATTTTCAATTTGGTTAAGTACTGAAGTCAAGAAGTTTATATGATCAATGTTTATCTTCCTATGCAGAACATGTGAGCAGAACTCACCCTGAAATCCCTCAGACTCGGAGGAGTATTTGTTATGGTGTAAGCAAAAAAGTCAAGATGAAAAGGATCTTGCTTGAAAAACAAAATTCACTAACCATGTCTTTCAAGTTTATAAGGCTGCAGACAACACAGTATCAATGGGTCATCAGTGCCTGCCTTTCATGGAGGGCAGAGCTCCTGAGTGTGGGACATTAGTGGGCTCTTGTTTATTTCACTTACTTGATCTCTTCCCGACTTATGTGATGTCATGTGACGTTCAAGTTGGGTTCTGTATGCAAAAGTGTAACTGCACAGGGAGCAACTGAAGTTATCTTCATTCTTTTCATGGCGATACTTAATGTGTTCCTTTAGAGAGGTAAAGCGCTTGTAGCCTCTGTCACAATATGGGCAGGTGAGCAATTGGGAAAATGCATCTGGCGTTCCTGTAAAAGTGAACAGACATGTTAACATTCAGAAATTCATATCAAAGACAGCACCAAGTCCCTAGCCATAGGCCAGAGAGAGTGCTCCTCACTTTACATTTGATCTTGAAGCAATGTGGTGGTAGTCATCTTCCATTTTATAAAAGAGATGAGCAAAGTTGAGAAACTTAAAAGTCATACGGAAAGTAAATTATTAATTCAATATTCAACCAGAGGTCTTAAAATTCCTGTATTACTTTCCTGTTGTTGTGATAAGACACCATGACCAAAGAAACTTATAGAAGGAAAAGTTTATTTCAGTTCACGAGTCCAGAGATTTAGAATTCATAATAGCTGAGGGAGGCGTGGCAGCAGGGGTGGCTGGAGCAGAGAGCCAAGTGATCATATCTTTAAGCAGGCTCAGGAGGCAGGGACGGGAAAACTGGCAAGGCTTAAGAACTCTCAAAGCCCGCCTCCAGTGACATGTTTCCTCTGGCATGGCCATACCTCCTAAAGGCCTCCCAAAACAGAGGCACCAACTAGGGACAAAATGTCCAAATATGTGGAGCATTTGGGGGACATTCTCATTCAAAACACCACAACCCCCTATCTTTTTAACTGAACCATAATTCTTCTGTTCTTTTGTATGATTAACTAAACAAAACAGAAGTAAAATCAGGATGTAGGTTACACTTGTATGTATACACGTACTGTAAGGGGAGTTACAGAACAGAATCTGCTGGTAAGAATTCTATCACTTATTTTATATTCATTGTTTCTCATTTAAAAATGTCACTCTGAAGTTATTACTGCAAGTGAGGAAGGGGTGAGGTTTCCAGGGCCCCTGCAGTCAGGTGTGGGTAGATAACTGAATTAGGGCCATGAAGGATGTGTATATGTAAGGGACGTACTGGAGACACAGTAACAAGAATCCCAAAATGTAATACTTTGAGTAATTTTCCGTATTTGTTTTTCAAAGAAATTAGTTTATAAGTGATATCTTACTATAATCTTTCTTTAATTTTGAATTCTTCATAGAAAAAGAGGCAACCAAAGAAAGTTTGATAACAAAACTAATCTCTAAATGTTTCATAAGCATATACTGCTTTATTAGAGTTCAAGTCCATACAAATTAAATGTCATACTCAAAGACCAGCTTGCAAATTAGAACTCTAAGTAGCTAGTCAAATATGTTGAAATATGCCAAGCATGGAAGTAAAATCAAATAATTAAAGCTCCAAAGTTTATGATGTATCTTTAGTTTCTAAAGATACAACTTGATCCAGAGAATTCTCTTAGGGATTATGCCAACATGGTCTCTCTTCTTAGTGGAGAAAACAATGTTGTATTTTGCCCTATTTTATACAAGCCAGTAGGAAATCAGCATTTTGGACTATCTCTCTTGCCAGAATGTTTAGTGCACCTTACTGATTTTAGGTAGCATAATGCCAAGAGACAAGGTCCACCATTATGGGTGTTTCATTATTGACATGGGAATATTCTGTGGTTCCATAACCAAGCTGCTCTTACTTCAGTGCCACAGAGCTGTCCCCTCATTGCCTTCCATGTTCTTGTCTGCGTGCTTAGTCCTTACAGTTAATAAGCAAACCATTAATAATTTGGAAGATTACAGGTTGCTCATGATATTTTAATATCAAGTTACTTTCATAAATAAATGTATTAAATTCTCTCACACTTGAGATATGAATTTGTTCTTTTTGGCCACTAGCATAAAAAAAAAGTAAGCCTGAATGTGTATTGTAAGAAGCAAAGAATTAAGGGGCAGGTGGATTAACCAAAACTAAGGGTTATGGAAAAGCCTTAGGATACCTACTGCTTTGTAAGCTAATTTATAAAAATATAATTAAAAATGAAGGTACCCTGATGGGAGGACAAGGATTCCCCTAGAAAATATGGATTATTAAATATAACAAAGTGCTATGTGTGTGGTACCTCTAAATTACTGATCAGGGATGCTCCAGAGGCTCTTAAAACAACACAGGATATTGCCACTGCTCTTGGTTACCCACTATAATTACATGGTGAGAGAGACCATTGAAGATGCCACAAACTTTGGTTTCAGAACAGAGAAATCAAGCGAGAACTGACCTAGAAGCTTCCTTCTGGATGGCTAGCTTTCACAGTGCTGAAAGGTACTATGCAGTCCACTGGCGAAGCAAAGCCTTCAATGGACTTACCCAGCAGTGGTCCCTGTGTTCTACGATACCAACCAAGATGTACTCTGGTGAAATGGTGGCATGACTGTGATAAGGATAACCAATAGCTTTCTGGCTGGATTTGAGGCCTGTTCTACAGAAAGAAATTCATGTCTAATACTGATGACAAGGTCCAAAGCCCACATGGCTAGGGAGGTCATAGTCCTTGGGGAAAGCTATTACTATTGTTTTGATAGATGGATATGTTGTCAAATTGCTTTCTAAATACTTACACTTGTACATATAGATTAGTCCTACTTTCAACCTTCATCAGAGAAACTTCTTTTTGCAGAATGCAACAAAGTGCTGAGAATAAGTGACTGCTGAGTGCCAGCCCTTAACAGGAATTTATATTGACCCTCCCAAGGTTCAGGAAACATTGTGGTTGAAAGAATGTAAGAGCTGGAGGATGGGGAGGAGTGCTGTGAAATGCTGCCTTCTGGACATGACATGGCTACTGTTTTTATGAAATCACAGTAGCTATGGTTATTTGCACAAGATTGGTACAAGAGAAAATCAGTCGGTGTTCCAGCATGGATGAGAGAAAGGCTCATGTGGTTCCACCTCTGGCTAAGGAGCTATTGGCAACTGATGGCTTCTGGGGGAGGGAGAGTACTTGTTCTTCAGGGGCGTGGACACTGGTAGGTTGCCCATGCTCAAGCAGATGGCACAGCACCCATGTATATGCAGACAGAACTATCTGGACTCAGTAGGTTATCAAAACAAGAACAAAAACAAAAACAGAAAGAAGAGGACATAAAGGTAGAAGAAAGCATTGGGGTGGTTTGGGGGAGTGGGAGCAGGATTTGGGTTATAATGTATGAAACTGTCAAAGAGAGGGAGGGAAGAGAGATTAAATAACACCAAGGATGTTTGAAAAAGCCTCAAGGAAAACTATTATAAGTTTATTCGTTCATCAGTTAAGACCACTGGCTGCTTTTGCAGAGAACCCAGGTTTGAGTTCCAACGTCCATATGGTGGCTTACAACTATCTGTAACTTAAGTTTCAGGGGATTTGATGTCCTCTTCCGGCCTCCATGGGCATAGCATGCATGTGGTACACTTATATACATGCAGGCAAAACACTCAAACACATAAAATGAATAAAATACAAATTAAAAAATACATATATGTGTGTATACGTAGACATAGTTTAAATGAATTTACCCCATATAGTATGATAATGCTCCCCCAGAAGCCATGGACTAACAAAAGCCCCAGTGCCAGGCATTGGAAACTTCTCGTCAAGCTGTTAGTCAGAGGAGTCTAAGAAACCACCAAAACAATATAGACTACTGCCATTGTCCTTGTTGCCTCCTAGAACTTGAAGGTAAGACTCTGCTGCTGAAGACACACACACGTTGGCCAGAGGACTTGGAGGAATCAAGTGACCTGGAAGCCTCCTCCTTGAAGGATAGCTCTCATAGTACTGGGAGGTGTTATGCAAGCTGCCAAGGGAGAAAAGTTATCAGCAGCCCTACCTGGCTGTAAATCCTGCAAACCACAGCAATGAGTAGCCCAGCAAGGCATCCCCAATAGTATAAAAGTGTACTTATATCTTGAGGGTAACCAACAGCTGTCTAATTGGGCTTAAGGCTCACTCAATAGGAGGAAACTCATGCTTAGTACTATAAGCCTAGCCAAGAACTTGTAGCTCAAAAGATCATAGCTCCTAGAGGACAACCTACAACTGCCATTTTGTTAAATTATACACCTTCGAACTGTATTCTAAATACTCATACTTACACCCATAGATAAGTAAAGCTCTCACCTCTCATCAAAGACACTTCTTCTTTCCCTGATCTTAATTATGCCTTCCCATATACTACTTTTTTGTTAGACAGAGTCTCCCTGTAGCCTCAGCTGGCCTAGAACGCTCTATGTAGATAAGGCTAGTTTCCATCTCACAGAAATCCTCCTGCCTCTGCATCCCAAGTGCTTGGATTAAAGGCTGTGCCACCACACCCAGCCATCAATAGACTACTTTTGGGTTTGATTTATTCTTGCTTTTCTAAGCCCCTGAGGTACATCATTAAGATATTCATTTAGGAAGAAGGGGTAGAAGGACGGTAAGAGCTGGAAGATTGGGAGAAGCGTTGAGATATATTGTTTTCTAAGCATGACATGACCATAGCAACCACGAACTATTAGCACTTGGGGCCACACAAGCAGAACCCTCCTCACAGTCATCTGTGGATGGGGAAGGGGCCCTACCAATTACTGCTCATCTGTTAGCAACGAACAGATTCTGGGAGAAAGGGAGGTATAATATCCAGTTGTGCAGCCACGGGTGAGACCCTAGCTCCAGTAGATAATTCGAAACTAAGGGGCACATAGACAGGCTGCCCTAGGTAAACTCTGTGGGACACAAAACAAAAAAAAAAGTAATCAATATGGAAAAGAGATTTGTAACTTAGAATGGGGTGGCCAGGCAGGCTGGGAGGAGGGAGAGACGAGGTTGGAGGAAGAGTAACCAGAATGCATTATATACATGTATGAAATTGTCAACAAACAAAATTTATTTAAAAAAATCTATATATGACCATTTTGAATGATCTATAATTTCTTTATGAATTTGTGACCACAAATATTCCTATTTTCAAAACAAAATTCTTTAACTTTTATATCCTAAGCTTTTTTAGCAGGCAACAGGATACTTCGGAGAGGCAGCATTTCCTGGCATGAAACTTGAAACAGCCCTTATACTTGTTTTCTACCCGTTCAGAATTCAGAATTTGTGATTGTTTAATCTTTTTGATGCAAGTATGCCTTTTCATAATTAATGTATGGGGAATGAAAGCAGGAGGGCATGTTTAATCTAATGAAAATGAAACATTTAGAGCTTCTGAGGATAGCCACTTTTTCTGTGTAGAAGAGTTACTGGTGTAATAATAGTTACTTTGTAATACTGTTAGAATTTCATGAGGTTACAATATATACCTGAAAGTAGTAAATAACCTAAATTAATAATATACTCTGTAATTCAAACATCTCGCTAACTCAGAGTAGTTAGCGTTCCCACTTTACGGGTGTACTGATTGGCAGCAGCAAGCTTCAGAAGGCTGCACCATAGGGTCTAGTCGCAGAACAAATCTTTACTTTCACTGTTTTCTTTCACCAAGGCTTTTTTGAAGTCCTCTGTTATATAAAAGTTGTACAAATATTCATATATGTAAACCCACTGCTCAGCACACTTCAGAATAGTTCTGGAAAGCTCCATCCTTACTGCCTTTGTCAAGATTTCATCACAGAAATTCTGCTACTCTAGTCCGAACCTTGTTTCTGCTCTTTGCGCTCTCCTGAAGCCAGGGCCTTACTCTGAATTAGAGGCTGGTTTTTTGAACTCACTATTTCCTGGATACTCTTCCCAGTCGCGATTATATGTATACACCACTATTCTTGATTCCTATTACTGCTCTTTTTTGCAGTTGATTCCTAATTTAAGAAAGACAGAGTTGACTGGAATCTATTTTGGTTTTTCTAGTCTTTCTCTCTTTGTTGTTTTTAGACAGGATCTCATGCAGCCTGGGCTGGCCTCCAAGTCACTATGTCAAGGATGACCCTGAACTTCTGATACCCTCCAATCTACCTCTCAAGTTCTGGGATTACAGCTGTGTGTCATGCTCAGTTTATGTAGTACTACGAATCGAACTCAGGATCTTATACATGCCAGGCAAGCACTCAACCAACTGGGCTACCTCTCAGTCCCCTATTTCCTTTTTTCATATCATCTTTCTCAGCTTCCTCCAAAAAGTTTAATGTTATTTGACTACTAAGCTAAATCCATCCACTCAACTGAAAACCGTGGAAAAATAAAGCCAGATTTAGGATATTAACACTTCACTAATCCTTAAACATTTCGCGTACCTTCCTAGTCTTGGTATAGATCTGACATAAAGTTTCTTACAGGAACATTCACGCGTAATTTTCATTTGCTTATTGTTCCGGGAAGGGGAACTGACAGCCTGTTTCTTTCCAGGGGTTTCTGAGCACATTTTTACCACATCTTCACCTTCTTTATTAACTGAGAACTCATGCTATGGTACACTAAGGCAGATACAGAAAAGCTACTGTCTCCAAGTCAGTATGTTTTGAACCAGACAACCATGTCTTATCTGCTGAAAGAATAGTTAATAAAACAAAACAAAACAAAAAATCAAAAAGCAATCAAAGGACAGTAAGGATGAAATCCGTCCTCACGTCTGTCCACAGCTGCCATCTGGATGGAAAGCAATTTCTAGGCACCGTTCAGAGCATCTCATGTGTGGTGGCATCATCACATCTATGAGCAGCTGACAACCTAATGTGCTGCTGTCATGGACTATGTTCTAGTAACTGAACAGATTCTCTTTATAAGTACCAAGATAGCTTTTTGGTTCTCTTAAGGGTTCCCTTTAGTAGAATACATTCCCACAATAGAGTAATAGAGACAATAATCCTTTAACTTGAGAAAGAGAAGCAAGTGTCAAGCCGCACTCACCGTTTTCGTCATGGCCACTGGCTTCTGGTGTGCCCTGCCGCTGGTCATCCTCAGGTGCCTCAGGGTAGATGACAGCAGTGTCTTGTTGCTGCAGGAACTCTTCCACATTAGGATCATGGTTTTGCTCATTTTCCACATCTGAGTCGCATTCATCATCTTTTACTAAAAGAAATGTATTCTTTATAAAAAGCTATTTACCACCAATTCATTTTAAAATTTCTCTAAGAAAGAAATTATCTTGAGAGAAAATGTGAACCTTCTTGAAATTGTATGACATACTCACTGAAGATTAAAAATGCATTCTATTCATTTTTCTGATCTACTGAGTATTTTTGCTTCATGTATTTAAAATGTTATCAATGTTTGGAATTCTCAGGGTCCCTAAAGGTTTCAGAGCCATAGTTCTACTAATAAACAAAACTCAAGAGAAAGCAATATAATCGAATGAACTATATCTCACTTAATGATAAACCAAGGAAAAATATACCTCAGTTATCAAAGATTACCTTCTTGGAAACATATTATAATATTTAAAGTTCTGCTTTGAACCTAAGTCATTCCCACATAAACCATTCTTTCAGTTCAGTTATGCAATTTCTTAGAAAATAGACTTAATAATCATCTGTAGTTAGACTTCTAATATGAATTAAGGGGTATCAAGTCACTAAAACTACTTTTTTAAAACAAGGGTCTCCCTTTACTTCTGCCTCAGTGAATCTGTAACATGAGGTTAAGGCAGGAGCTTTATTTCTTGAGTTAGAAAGTTGAAACAGAATCTGCTTACTTTGGAACAGTGACCCAGAACGCCCAATGCCTCTAAGGCAGCACTGCTGCTCCATGGTCCCTGCAGGACACCATCTACTCCATGCTGAGGCCAGCAAGAGCCTTAAGTCTCTTGAGTTAGACTGCTTCATAGACTTCAGACTAAATTTGCAAATTTCCCCTTCCTAGTAACTTGGGCCTAGTAGGGCCTAGTAGGGCCTGGTAAGGCCAAGTTAACTCAGATAGACTGGTATTTTTTTACTTGATGGGTGCTACAGCAACCTTGCTAAATCTTCTGTACAGTAGGAATGAACTTCTTGGGGTGGCTCCTGTTTAGAATTTGAGAACCATGATATAGTCAAGAGGCACCAATTTTCTACTTTTTAAATACAGCCAGTAAGTTATCAATTACTTAGCATCGCCTGTATACTGGGAACTATGGTATTTAATTCATGCTGGTAATACCAGACTGTAGACAGTGAACCGAAAAGCACGTGAAGACTTTTTTCAGAGGCAAGCCCGGTAGTTCTAGTGTTCAGGAAATTGAATGATTCCTCAACTCATATGTAGATGCTGCTTTGCGGTCTGTTTTTCACAATATTCTTTGCTCTTTACTATTTAAAAAAGGAGAAAAAAGCATATCCCTCTCTCTGTGCATTACATTAGTGAGGCATACTGCTTTGGAGAATAAAGATCTCAAAAATGTCAAAGGAGAAAAGTTCAAGATCAATCAAAGTGACATGAAAACAGTGCAGTCTCCCACTTTTCCCTGCTGACATGGATTTCTATGAGGTGTGAATCATGGGAACTGAAGGGGGGCTGTAGCCCTAACTGGGAAGCTGAAACCAACCATAACAATACAGGTGGAGGAAGTGAGGGGACTTTTCTTGTGCTGGCCTCATGAGCTGCACCCCCAACTGTTACTGAGAAGGCTGATAAAGGAGCAAAGAACATTCTCAAACACGCTCTTAGGGCATCATTAGGGATTTCTAAATTGCTAAGAGGTTCACGCCAGTGACACTGAGTCTTTTCAGTGCAACTTCACCACATTCTAGATAACTCAGAGGAAATTAAGATTTTATGTTCTTGCTTATAGATTCTATATGGTTTAGATTTGCCGAGATAATTATGACTGTTTTTCTCAATAGCCATATTTTTTTTTCCAATTTAGAGTTATTTATTTTATAAAACGTATGTAGGTGGGAAAGAGGAAGGTTAGGCAAGGCAGCATGAGGCCTAAGACAGGGCAGGGCATGTTTGTCCTCCCCATACTCTGAGGGTCAGGCAGGAGGAGCCTGTGAGCTCAGTCTGAGCTATGCAGCAACATTCTCTCTCAACCCCCCTCAAAAGTAATCTTAAACTATTACATGAAGTAAATGAAAAATATTTCAGTTCTTTTATTCCCATTTGCAGTAACATTTTTTTCTTTAATAATTATTTATGATAGTGTGTAACATATTTATGTTGTGATCAACTCTGAACTAGTGGTAATTAAATGATAAAACAGTCCATAATTTTTAAAGTTTTATTCTTGTTGGAAAGAGAAAGCTCAACTTCCATGAATATTCTTCTTAAAGAAATAAGATGATGGGGCTGGAGAGATGGCTCAGTGGTTAAAAGCACTGGCAGCTCTTACAAAGGACCCAGGTTTGATTACCAGCACCCACACGGCAGATAACAACTGTAACTCCAGTTCTAAGGGAATCTGATGCTCTCTTTTGACCTCCTCTGGCATTGCACAACACGGGTGCACTTATATAATACAGGCAATATACTCATACACATAAAATAAAAATAAATAAAATATTAAAAAAGAAAAATAGAAAATCCATATTATGTAGGCATAGAACTGATTCTACAGGGTACAGAGAAGGCAAATGTGACTTAGGAGTGACATTACAATATAACATTTCTGACTCTTAAGGCATTTATTTGTATTTTATAAAAAGAATGACAATAGTTATTAAATTGCTGTGAATTTTACATATAAAAACACTGTTAAGGACATCAATTTTATATGCTAGAAATTGTTTACTATTTAATATAAGCTACTTTGAGATACTCATTTAACTTGTTAGGCAGTACACAGTACGTTTATATATGATAGATGAAAACTAACTCAGGGTTGTTTCAGAGGTTAAATTACTATGGTTTGGCATGTGGCAAGTGCTGCCATTGTGAGCTATTTTCATTAAAGCAGTACTTAGAAGGTAAACATCCAAATTTCATAGTTAACATTTTTCTCAATAAAAACACTAGGGTTAGAAAACTTAAGACAGCTTTTCAAAAGTCGCATAGGAAAGAGCATTCCTACTAGAGAGGGAAGCTTGCTATTAGGTGCTTGTATCAGACTCATGGCTGCTTGCACTAAGCTACACTGTTTTCATAAACCTGACACTTACCTTTAATTTCAGACAGAAAAGAGATCCTGCAGTTTTATCCATCTGATTTAAAGTATTGAGATATACACACAATGAAAAGGTCAATAATAAAGCAAATTTTCTGGTCTTAGGGCTGATAGACAAAGTACTTAAATATTAAAAAAATTGGCTAAACTCATGATCATCTGATAATAATTCATTTTTCTCTTAGGTAAGACAGAACTCAGCACTGGTTGTCAAAATGCAGAATTACAGTGCTATAATAACAGATTAAAGAGAACATATATTTAATAGTAAAACTAAATTTTTTATTTAGCCATCAATATGAAGTTTTTTTCCCACGCAGAAATCTTTACCTTCTTTGTGAAACTGTTAACTGTATAAATACAAACAGGGTGCTTAGGAGGCACAAAGAGTGTTTGGGTGAGTATTTCACTGCTTGAATACTAAGCTCTGCCTACAGTTCCCTTCATCTCATGAATAGGAAAAGGAAGTGAGCTGTAGAACAGGCCTACACTGCTCTGAAGAGTGACAGAGACCCCTGCACTGCACCCTGCTCGGTCAGCATGCTATTCCTCAGAAGTCAAGGAAGTAACAAAAGTCAAGGCAAACCACACTTTTGAACCTCAACTGCTCACATGTCTCAAAAGCTCAATTTCTGTTCCTTTCCTTACAGCCACGTTCACTGGAGCTTATTAAATGTTTGCTTGCTCCTAGCTCTGCCCCATGTCCCTAGAAAACTCTGCAGAGGAACCTTCCGGGAGGTGGGTGAGGCCTGGCCTTTTGGCAGCTACTTTGGCTTATACTTGCTAACTCTTCTTTCTACAAATGACCTTTTTGGGAGAAAAATCTATGTGTTAGTACTTCAAACTGAAAGAATTAATTTTTACAGTGAAGAGCAAGTTCTGATTTAAAATGCTATGAACTTGTGACTATGAATGAATTTTTTAATAGTGTTTTGTCTATAAGAACAAATAGTCTTATAACTATGGTAATCCAGTATTTACAAATCATCAAAGCTTAATTAACATTGAGGGACAACACAGTCTTCTGTGTCCATCAGCATTATTATTTTACTAAAAACAAATACTGTTTAAATATATTATATAACATCAGTTTCACTAATAATAAATATCCAGTTTAAATATCATATAATCTGTAGGTTAGCAAAAAAGTATTTTGACAGCAAGCACACTAGAACACATTATTCATGCAAGTTACACATGGCCAAGTTAGGGAAGAATATACAATCTTAGATTGTTTGCACTGCAACTCATCACACAACTCCATTATTAACTAATCCATCTGAGTTCACCTCACTAACAGCACAAAATTTACTTCCTGTTTGAGGGACATGACGATTATGGAGCAATGAAAACCTATTTCACTTACAGGTCAGACATAATTTACAGGGATCTATGGAGCACCCTTAAAATGTATTTCAAAGTAAAAAAAAATCTTCAAAATTTTAAATTATAGAAGAGAAGTTTAATTAAAATGATGTGTTAGAAATATGGAACCCAAGGCTGAATATGTAAAACATAATTGAATATATAAACTATATAGTGCTTTGAGGAAGCTACGTTGTGATACTTTAGAATCTGTCGGTCAGGTTTACACTCCAAGAGCTTTACCTGATTCATAGGGCACAATGAAAAGGTCTGATATCATATGTAATATCTGATTTAAGTTTTCCACTTACTCTTTTGCATCTTAAATTTGATCTGAAGCTATTACAGAGGAATAGCCTTAAGTTTCAGGGAATATGTACTTTTAGTCACCGAGAAGCAAATTTCCTTGTTTACTATAAATGATCTTTATTTTGGTCATAAAATCTCAGAAATTACAAGAAAGAAGTTGATTCTCTTGTTTGCTGTGATATGTTCACTCAACTCCTAAATATCCATGATTACCATCTAGTGTAAAGGTAACCTAAGATATTGCTTGTTTTGTGAGTAATTCAAAGAAGCCATCAGTAACTAATAATGAAATTTGAAGTTCTGCATTTTTGTACCTTGGGTGGAAGCATGATACAAGTTCAAATCACCAAACACATTTTGGGGATTATTTGTAGATTTTAGTCATACGTATAGAATGGAAAGTTTGCTATATTACATAAAGCTCTAATTTTACAATGTATTTAAATAATATTAACTTCTGGTTTTTCTGTAGTGCCCCATATACCAATGTTCTTAAACACTTAAGGAGGGCAAGAGACAAGATGAGGAAATAGACTAATTCAGGATTCACAAATGCAAAGCCAGTGTCACCAAAGCCCCTGGCAAAGGCAAGGAGCAAGCATACCTGTGCACCCTGCATCACCTCCCTGAGCTTCAGGCCCCAGGACTCTTCGCCCTTCCTTTCCTGATGAAAGCGGAGAACAGGGGTTAAGATAGATTCACATTCACACACATTTTAGTTTCTAAAATCTGAAAAGGAAACTTGGTTCAGATTATATTTCATTTTGATTTTTCCTTTCATAAATATGGTACTATGGGTTTGAAAAGTAAAGCTTTATAAAGAAAGCAAGTGGATAGCTTTGTCATGAAGATATCTTAGAGAAATAAAAATCAGTGCAGATTTGGATAGAATTCTGGAATGATATCTGTTTTAGAATTACAGGTTGAACATACTTAATATGAACTGCTTGGGATCAGAAGTGACCGAGATTTCAGATTTTTCAATATTAACATACATAAATATCTTTGGCACAGAACCAAATCTAAATATGAAACTTATCTGTTTCACATATACCGAACGCACACAGCCTTTAGATAAATTTATACACTATTCTTAGAGTATCCACATTTTGGCTGTGAGCTCTTATGAGTTCAGGGTAGTATTTTCTATTAGTGGTGGCATATCAGCACTCAGAATGTTTCAATTTTGGATCTTTCAGATACGGAATGCTCACTGGGGCTCAGTGGAGCTTTAGAGCAGCTTTACCTTGAAGCACTAACCAACTATCTGCAGGAGAATTTTTCCCCCATTTCTTCTCCAAACTAAAAGTTTCCAGGTTCCATGCACTAGGCTAGAGGCTTTATAACCCCATCCTACTAAACTTAGCGGCCCATTTATAAGCTGAAAAAGAAACATAAAACTTGAGCCTTGGTGAAATGAATAATTTCAGAAGCAGCTACTTGGGGGAAGCAACAGAAGCTGAACACAGACTGGCCTGACTCCGCTTTCTACTCCACCCTGCCCTTCACAAGAGGCCAGCAATGCAGGAGCAGGGCTGAGCCCAACACTGCTGTGCCCCAAACACTGCAGCACTGCACTTCTTTTCTTTATTCTGCTCTTATTCTATCAACTCCTAGTGTAAATACAAATGGTTTCAGAGGCCTGCTATTTTCCTTTGTCACCTCTGTATTTATAGTGGGCTAATTATCGTATTCAGTAAAGAGTAGATTCAGAATAACCAGATTTCAAATAAATGTCTGCTTTTGGGCAGATGGAAATTATGTTTTCTTATCAGGTACACTGTAGTAAATAGTAAATACAACAGTTTAAGGATGTGAGTGTTTATGAAAGATACAGTTAAAAGATGAATTGCTCTTTAGCTGTAGCAGAGAACACATCCTAATTACAATCAGAATCCTTACAAAGTTATACTAAACCACACACTCACCTGTATTCCAATCAAATCCACTGAATGTGCCAGTCAAAAATCCTGACTGAGATTTCTCCTAAGTTTGATCGTTGAGAAAAAGATCACTAATTGCATGTGTCTGAGTGCCTTGGGTCACTAGCTAGAAAGGTCAGCAGTATTCCTTCTCCTCCTCTGAATCTGCCCTCTTCTTCCCTTTTCCCCTCCTCTTATTTCTTTGAGAAAAGGCCTTACATTGTAGCCCAGGCTGGCCTTGAACCATAGCAATCTTCCCGCCTCAGCCTTTCCAGCACTGGGATTATATCCATGCATCACTCATTCATCTAACTGGCAAGCAGATTTTCATCCTTAACTTTTACACTAACACTTAAGGATGATCATTCTATAAAAAACAGTTAAAATATGCACAACCCTTTTTAGGTCAACATAAAAACATTGTCTAAGGTAGATGATTATGTATTAATTTCTGTCAAAGAAATCTTATTTGTACTTCCCACTAACAAAAGGACAATTAGGAGAATTCCTAAGTGTTTAAAAACTATAGGATAAGTATCATGTCTGCTATGTGTTTATTAGACAAAATAATAAACACTATGCCAACTGTGCAAGTTTAAGACGGCAACACAGGTACTTATTGTGAACTATGTCCATTTTCTTTAAGGAAAAGCAAAACAGTTACTATTTGATAACATGAGATATTGATATTAATGATTAAAACAACCTTTAAAATACTATTCACTTATAGTTATTATAGCTGATTGAAAAACTATTTGCAATCCAATTAAGTAATTTCTTCACTTCTCCTTCATCTGTTTGGTATGAGAATACTGACACTTTAGATGAGCATTTAAAGTCCTCTTCAGAATCTACTCCCAGACTTTTATTACCCATGATTTTCTTTCTGGGACTTTACTTCTTTTACTTCTTTTTATATTTTATTTTTAATTAGTAGACAAAGTAATGTTTCATATATATATGTGTGTGTGCGCATATGTGTATGTACTTATGTGTTTGTGTATGCACATGTGCGTGGATATGAGTACACATATATGTATGTGTGTGTGGAGGCCAGAGGTCAATGCCAGGTGTCTTGCTCAATAACTAACATATTTTTGAGACAGGGTCCCTGAACCCAATGCTTCCTGATTCAGCCACACTAGCTGGCCACTGAGCTGAGCCCCAGAATCCTCTTGTCTCTGCTCCTCCAATGCTAGGATTACAGGTGTATGCAACCACTCCAGTTGTTTTCTGCTTTTGTTTCTTTGTTTTTTTTAAAAAAACATGGGTTGCCAGGTGTGGTGGTGCATGCCTTTAATCCCTGCTAGCACTTGGGAGGAAGAAGCAGGCGGATCTCTGTGAGTTTGAGGCCAGTCTGGTCTACATAGCGAGTTCCAGGTCAGCTGGGGCTACAGGGAGACCCTGTCTCAAAAAGACCCAAAAAACAAAAACCAGAAAACAAAACAAACAAACAAACAAAACATGGGTTATGGGAATCTGAACTCAGGTCCTCGTGTTTTGCATGACCCATGTCATGCAACAAAGCACCTCCCCAGCCTCTAACAGTTTCTTGGCAGGCATTCCATACACACTTAGCTTGGTTGCCTCTCCCCAGTTTTTCTCCCCACCTCTTCCTTTCCCTTCCTCCCCACTCCTTTCTCTAATCTCCCTGCCCATGCTCTGAGCCTTTGTGCCCAGCATTCCCCTTTCTATTTCCAGTCACATGTGCTCTAGTACCTCCCCTTCCCCTTCCTAAGTTTCTTCCTCCTCCCACTCACTGGTCCCTTTCTAGTTTCTTGACCTCTACTTACACTCACTTCCACATAAATATACACAAAAATTAGAAACTAGAATCTGCATAAGAGAGAGAATATGTGGTACTGTCTTTCTGAGTTTGGGCTACCTCACCTAATATAATATTTTCTAGCTCTATTTTCCTGTAAATTTCATTTTTCTTTATGGCTGAATGAAGATGTCATTGTGTATGTGCCACATTTTCACTATCCATTTAATTCCTTGCTATTGTGACTAGAGCAGTTGTCAACAGGTATGTGCATGCATCTCTGCCGTAGGACAGCGAGTCCAGGGTACATGCCCAGGAATGTATCGCTAGGTCAGATGATAGGTTTCTCTTTAGTTTTTGAGAACTCTCCACACTGGTTTCCATAGAAGCTGTATCAGTTTGCACTCCTACCAGCATTGAATGAGGGGTCCCTTTCCCCACATCCTTGCCAGCAATTGCTCTCACTTATTTTGCTGATGATGGCCATTCAGACTGGGATGAGATGGAATCTCAAAGCCATTTATTTGCATTTCTGTGTGAATAAGGGTGAACGTTAAAAAATTAAAAAAAATTTATGTGTATGAATACACTGCCTGCATATAGGTAAGTGCACCCATGTCATGCAAGTGCTGGCAGAGGTCAGAAGAGGTCATCATATCCCCTGGAAATGGAGTTATGCACAGTCGTTAGAGGAGTTGTTAGCTGTTAGAGGTGGCTTTGTTGATAACAGCTGTGTGTGCTGGGAATTGACCTGCAGTCCTCTGCAAGAGCAGTTATTGTTTTTAACCACAGAATCACCTCTCCAGCCCCAAGGGTGTTGAACATTTTTAAACATACATATAGCCCATTTATTTGTGCTACTTCTTCTGAGGACTGTCTGCTTAATTCATTAGCTCATTTATGGACGGGTGGTTTTGGGGTTTTTAGTGCTTAATTTTTGCAGGTCTTTATATATTCTAGATATTAACTACCTGTCTAAAGTATAACTGGCAAAGATTTTGTCCCTTATGTAGACTAGGAGGAGGAAGAGGAGGAGGAAGTAGCCCATTTATTTGTGCTACTTCTTCTGAGGACTGTCTGCTTAATTCATTAGCTCATTTATGGACGGGTGGTTTTGGGGTTTTTAGTGCTTAATTTTTGCAGGTCTTTATATATTCTAGATATTAACTACCTGTCTAAAGTATAACTGGCAAAGATTTTGTCCCTTATGTAGACTAGGAGGAGGAAGAGGAGGAGGAAGGGGAGGAGAAAAAAGAGGAGGGGGAGGGGGAGG